TTTGTATTTTAGGGCAAGGTGTACAGGGTATACAGGGTCTCACTGTGTAGATCAGACTCATAGTGATCCGCCTGATTACAGCCTCCCAAGTGTTGGGATTACAGGCACACGCCACCATGCCCAGTCTCAATCGCCCTCTCACTGTGCCCCGGGGGCAGGGCCAGCACTGCAGGCCCAGGGATCAGACTCCCAGCCCCTGCGTCTGCCTAAGCAGGAGCTTTAATCAGCTGAGCTATTTGGCTGGTGCTTCTAATATATTTTACTGTTAGATAAAATTATTACATGTGATTTTCACAACAAATGAAAAATTAATATCTTTTTAACAGTACCAGGGATTGAACTCTGGACCTTGTGCTTGCCAGGCAGGCACTTATGCCACTGAGCTATTCTCCTGGCCCCAGACAAATTAATTTTAAAATGTATATTGGGAATATTTTTTAATAGTCTGCAGTTAACCATAAAGATGATCATGGGATTTCACAGTAAGATTAGATTACTTTGTGACATTTAAAAGATGTTTAGACTACACTTTATTTATTGCACTATCTTGCAACTAGGCCATGATCAACAAATTCAGATCAGTGGATAGCTCAGTGGTCTCAGCGCCTGCCTGACAAGGGCAACAACACAAGTGCCATCCCCAGGAAGCATGTGGTGCCCGCTACTGAAACTGGGTGAAGTGGCACAAATCTGTAATCCCAGCACTGGGGGGGCTGGGACTGGAGGATCACTATGAGTCTGAGCTACATAGTGAGACCCTGTATCCAATAAATAAGCAAAAGATTTTTTAAAGAAGAATTTAAAAAACACTAGTTCTTTTAGTCATCTTTAGGGTCAAGGTGTTTAATAACCTTAAAGTAGTCACTTAGGTAAATAATTTTCCTGTTTCTGGTGATTTTTCACATATGAAGTGAAGCCAGTTAATGCCCTGGCAGCCAACAGCAAGTGCATGATGGAAGTGCATCGTCCACAGTGTGTCCTTTCTTCTCCTCCCAGTGCCACTGGCTCTTGGCTCAAATATGCTGCTGCCAGCCTCAGAGAAGGAGAACAGGCCAAAGAGATGTTTCTGAGCTCTAGAACTGTTTGTGGTGTCTTTTGTTCACAGGCTTGAAGATAATTTCAGGAGTGAAATTTTAGACTCCTTAATCTCCTTGAAAATGTATAATCTGCAATTTTTTGCTTTGAATAATGTGGGATATTTTTAGTATTGACTCCTTGGCCTTGTCTCAAAGATCAATTCATACTTATGCATACTTTAATGGGTGCAACACTATTGTTTGCAATAAATGCATGTTCTTTCCAGAGAAAGACCTTTACAGGGTCATAAGATGATTTCTACGTATTGGATCATTTGATTTAAGCCATATTTATTCTGAAATTAAAGTAAAGTGTCAAATACAACTTGCCAATAAGAAACATTTCATCACACATACTGATTCAGGAGTGAAAGGTCCTTTAGTAACCACATCTGAAATACTACCTGTCTGGCCCTTTGAAGTGGCTAGTATTAATAGACATTGACTAAATACCTCTACTGAATGGGATTTCTGGTTTACTCAGCTAGGCTGTTCCTTGTTCAAAGATAATTGGTACAATATTTTTAACTTAAAATTGTGTCTTTCTAATAATCACTAGTATTCATTTTATTTCACAATGAAATTAACATTTAATCTGGGTTCCTTCTTCTGTGATAGTTTTTCAATCCTTAGAAAACCATTTGTCCCATTTTGGAAAACTTCATTTTGCTTTTCAGGCTTGGTATTTTTAAATTATGACTGCCTCTCATTATTTTCGTTTAATCTGTTATTCTCTTTATTAAGAAAGCACAACCTGAGCTACCTCCCCAGCCCTCACATTTCCTTCTTGGTTAAGTAAAAATGGTGCAACTTCCACCTCCCATGGGTGGGAGGAATGACGCACTAGACTCTTACCTCCCCAATTCAGTCTAGATATGAATTCCTAAAGAAAGACTGTGCTTCCATTAATATTTAATCATCTCATTAATTTATTTTTAGGTTTTAAATCCTTTTGACTTGCTGTTTTGTTTTGTGGCACCAAAATCCAGGAACTCACGTGTACCGCCAGGTTCTTTATCACTGAACTGCATCACTAGCCTTAGGTTTATATTTTATCCAAAATTCCTAGTTTTTTGGGTAAATGCATCTTCTCAATTCTATGCTGAGAAATTTGCTTTTAAGTACCAACTATCACAAACGTTTTGGCTACTAATTCACCCTAAGTATACTGTTTTCCTTTCATCGAAACTTTACTCTTAAGTGCTGCAAACATAAATTTGTGCTCTTCCTTACTAGTAAGATGTCTTGTGAGGTAAAAGAATAAAATACAATGCGTTGATGACTCTTTTCTAGAAACTTTTAAGATCTGGGACTCATTGCACAGGGTTATTAGTTCATTTTCTGTTCAATTTATTCATGGAACATTTATTTAAAAATGCATACAATGTTGATGTAGGGAACTTGGCCAAGTGTCACTGTGGTTCAGATATCTACTCAGTGTAGTTTCAGGAGTAAACTTGTCAAACTCTGAATTCAGTTCATCTGGCAATATTGGTGAAACTCTCTAGGATAAAAGAGGCTATTGTTTCTGATCTTAGTGTTCAAAATTTGTTCTTAGATTAACTTATAAGTTGTTGTGGATCCGCCCTTCCAAATGATAGCAGATGCAATGATGCTGAGAGCATGAGCAAAACCAGACAGGAGAAGTTGATAGACATGGTGAGGAACTCAGGAACACCTTTAGTGTCGAGTGCAGTTTTACAGAAGATGCCGTGGAAAACATAAGGACGGAGTGATGTTAGATAAATGGACAGTTTATCAACTGCTTCACTGACAATTGCAAAGATTTGCTTTCAATGTCCGTTTTATCTTCATGCCTACATTTATCCAGGTGAGCACTCCAATCTTGACTACTTCAGTATTGTAGGGCAGGTATATTTTCTTTCATATTTGGCTTTGCCACTGAAATCTCTCAACTGTTCAAATATAATTTCCTGAAATTTCCCTCCTCAATTTGATCCACCTGTAGATTTTCAGTTCAGTTGATCAGAGTTTTATGATTCAGGTTGTTAGGCCTCAATTCTTAGAGTCATTCTTGATTTTCCTTTTATTCACACATTGTTTCTTCAAACAGTCTTGCCTACATCTACTTTTAAAGCGTATTGAGCCATTGATTGGATTGTATTCATATGACTTTTCACAGAGAATAATTACCTATGGGACATTCAGGAAAGACTTGTAACCACAGGCAAAAACAACTAGGTTTAAAATCTCGGTTGGCAGCATTCATATTTAAGTGCACTTTCTGTTTCCAGGAAAGGCCTATGCTCCAGAATTCTATTACGATACCTACAATCCGGTGTGGCAGAACAGCCATCGTGTTTATTCCTACAGTCTACAGTGGACACAGATGAATCCTGACGCAGTGGATCGGATTGTCGCATACCGCCTGGGCATTCGGCAGGTGAGACACTGAAGCAGCTCCTTTTTTCGGTGACCCACTGTGAATGCTTTGCTGCTATGATATTTCTAATTGTGGTGCATACATTACAGGATGTATTTTCTGTAGCAATGATAGTATTGCCTTATACAAAGTATTCTGGATTACTTACGCAGCTTTGGAATTAATTTATCAATTTTCTACTACAGCAGATAACATGTTAGAACAACATGCTTGGAGCTTTCAGACATCCTCATCACTAGACGTGCTTGGGAAACTACATAGTATTATAGCTAGAAAAATAACTTATTTAAGATGTCTTCATCCTTTTCTACACTGTATCATAGTTTGCTTTGCTTCTTAAGACTAAAAGTCTTGAATGTTTTTACTTCAGTGTATGTTCATATAGTGCTCTAAATATTATTTTTGTATGTCTGAAGATTACAAATACTTCCCGTAATGAAAAGAAATACTAAGGTATGATATTTTTACTGTAGCAGGAAATTACAGTTGTGTAGTTTTTATCTTTTAGATATTTTATCATTTTTATCATTTTTTTCCAAATGAACCATTGTTAGGCTAACTTAGCCTTTGTTGGTATAAATGATATTTTAAAAATTTGGGGGCATTTTTTACATTTTCTTATGGACTCTTGCTAGATAACATATTATCTACTTGACCACTTCAGCTTAGAAACATTTTTTAAGATCTGGTTCATTTCTGTATAATCTGTTAGCTCTCATTACAACTCTGTGTTATCTGCAAATTTCAGTGTGTGTTCTACTCCCTGAATTCAATCACAGGATAATAGTTTTTACTGAGACAATAGAAAAGACAGAGTTTTCTTGAAGTAAGGTTGATCAATCAAGTGTCCCTCAATCAACTGTCATCCCTACAAACATTATTTTTCTTGTTCCTCAGAAAGGTAGAGTAAAATACCTCTTAAGGTACATGGTTCAAATAAAGCCGCATTGAAAACTGAATAGTCTGATCCTTTGTAGTTAATAATCATAACAAACGGAGAGAGCTTGCCTTGGTGGAAACATCTAGAACTTCACAGTCCCTGCTTCCTTGTCTAAGCTCTGGTCATTCATCCAGAGGAGCACAGGGAACATCCGAGAGTTTCTTTCATATCCCTCCTTTACATGGACCCTGGTAAATTGTGATAAATCTCAAATGCATATCAAAATTGGTTGTTCTACTTATCCTAAGTTGTTAATTTTCCATGATAGGAAAGACAAAAATAGAAACTAAAAAGTCAGAGCACAGTTCTTTTTTTTTTCTGGTGGTAAGGTTTATTTCTTTTACTTTTCTGAACAAAACTCATCGTTTTAAACCTACATGTGGAGCATCCTAAAGAATTTTGACTTCTCACATTTCACAATTTTTAATGTCATTGTTCTATTGTTTATTCATTTTCATTTATCTTTCATTATACATTTGTAATCTAAGAACAGAAGAGCATATGGTATTTGCAAAAACATAATTTATTTCCTTTACATGTTTTTACATTATTTTTACATTATTTTACATTATTTTTACATTATTTCCTGACACAGGTCTGTCTTAAATGGCAAAATCAGAACTTATCTTTCACTTCTCACTGTCTTCCCCAGCTGTCTTCTCTTAAAGTCTTTATAAATTCTTATCACAATCCTGAGCGCTGCCTCTTCCAAGTGTGTGGAATTTAATGAACTCCGTTCTTCATTGCCTCTCTTGCTCATGCCTCAAAACGCTTGTCCCAACCCAGTGTCATCGATGAGTGAGCACAATTCCTCTCTGTAAGTCAAATGTCACAGAAATATAGCTTCCCACGAGGTCTCTCCACTCCCAGAGTACAAGACAGATTTGAGCAGGCAGCACTGTCTACAGGGAACTGAAGATCTTTCCTTCTTGTCCATAATTTGTGTCCTTTGTTAGCAAACTATCTTCTTTATGACTATTTTCTGGGATTCCTATACTATTTTCCAATGGCACATTCTCTGAATATTTACATTTTTTTCTGACATCATCATCCCTGAATTTCTGTACTTACATTTCTTTTTTCTTTTCTTTCTTTTTTTTTTTTTGTTGTTGTTTTTCTGTATTTTAGAGTAGGGTCTACAGCATATTCAGGGTCTCTCTACTAGATCGGACTCATAGTGATTCTCCTGTTTACAGCCTTCCAAGTGCCACCATGCTCAGTCTCAGTCACCAGTGTTCCCCCAGGGGTGGGACCGGCTCTGAAGGCCCAGGGATCGAACCCTCAGACCCTCTGCCTGCTTGCAGGTGCTTTAATCTGCTGAGCTATTTGGCCAGCCCAACATTTCTTGGTCATGGAACTGGTCTGTAACTCCCTGATACATAGTGACTAACATCACAGCCATCTTAATGCTCATTTTGAATGAACTAGATAGTATTCTCCATGTCTTCTAATTTAGAATGAATTACCTATATGTATATGCTTGTAGGTAGGACATGTACCTATGTGCATGTGAAACAAGTATCATATAAATGCTATATACTGCTTTGTACACATGGTATGTAAAATCTCCTTTAATTATATTTTATTAAAATAACAAGTGCAGGCATAACTGACTTCCAAGTAAGTTTAGACAACCGATCTTCATCATTGTTAGTTATAGACCCTTGACTATGTCTCTGACTCTTGTGTCTAAGCAGAAGGTACTGATGCCTGTCCTATGGAGTATACCATAGTGCAGGTCCCTCGCCTGCTGCCAGCCAGGTGTTCCGTGACGGGGCTCCCTTCCCATAGGCATTTGTGGCCATCCTGACACTGATAGGCAGGCTTATGTGAGGATTTTCAAAACAAGTATTTCAAGAGTTTATTATGCCTTACATCTTTACAATTTGATATTTTTTTTACTTCAACATGGACACCATATCTGTGTTACTCCTGGCCTTGGTTTTTATTAATTAATTTCTAGACACTTTTTTCACATTATCTTTATTTTCATTTTGGACTTGTCCTCCAGAAAATCCAGCTTAATGATTCATATTGTTTCCTTCCAGCTTTCATTTTACACTGTCTTTCTTCATTAAATCAGCAAGTTCACTGTTTATACTGTTTTTCCCCCGGATTTTGCCAGATGCAGCGATCTTCTAGAAGAATACATTTCTGATATTACAAACCATAGCTCCAAAGTAAATCCTTTGCTTACTCAATTTTCTTTCTTTCTTTTTTTTTTTTGTTTTTTTTTCGGAACCAGAGATTGAACTCAGGCCCTGGCGCTTGCCAGGAAAGCACTTATTCCACGGAGCCATCTCCCCAGCCCAGAATATTGCTTAATAGTTTTTTTTTTTTTTTTTTTTTTTGTGGTACCCGGGGATTGAACTCACAACATTGTGCTTTCCAGGCAAGCACTTTTCCAGTGAGCTATCTCCCCGGCCCTCCTTACTCAATTTTTGAAGCTAACATCATAGTTGTCAAACTCTTAGTTTTCTAGGTGTCTTTGTTCTTAGGATCTTTCATATTTTCATACTCTTTATTCTTGTGTGTTTTATTATGATGCTCTAGTCCAATTGATAATTTAACTCAGTTTATATCACTATGGAAGAAAACAATTTGATGTATCTTTTGGAGATGTTTTCAGAAAGAGTAATGTTTTGTCAGAAACAAATAGCTGCTGTTCATTGGTACAACTTAGGTACATACAATGATCACATTCATCGCAGTGAATTGGTACTTGTGTATGGTATCTGCCAATTCGACTTTTTTCCCCATTCCTCTCCCTTCTCTTCAACTCTCCCCTCACCCTTCTTTCTAAAACCTTGCTTTCCTTTAATCCTGCTTTTGTCTTTTTTTTTTTTCCACTTTATTCCTTTTCCTCCTGTCCTCTTCCTGGTTCCGCTTCTCATTTGAACAATTTCTTGCTATTTTACAATATCTATTACACATTTTGGTCCTTAGTTGTACTTTCAGTTTCTTAATCCAGATAAACAATGTGATCTGTGTGTGTGTGTGTGTGTGTGTGTGTGTGTGTGTGAGAGAGAGAGAGAGAGAGAGAGAGAGAGAGAGAGATAGCCACAAGGTGCATTCATTTACCTAGAAATGTCTCCTTTATTCTTCGTTATGGCTGAGTAGTACTGTATTGTATAAAAAGAAACATCTTTATTTATCAGTTGATGTGTATTTAGGCTGTTCCCAATACTCATCTGTAACTAACTGTGCTGCTATAAATGTGTGTGTGTGTGTGTGTGTGTGTGTGTGTGTGTGTGTATCACTGTGGTATGAGGCTTCAAATTCTTTTGAGAAGATACCAAGAAGGGAAATAGCTGAGTCGAATATAACCTCTGTTTTAATTTTTTAAGAAATCTCCACACTAATTTCCACATTGGTTGCACCAGTTTATATCTCCACTAATGGTGGAGAAGGGTTCATTTTTTTCCCCACAGCCCTTCCAGCATTCATTATTGGCTCCTTTAAGGGTGAGATGGGGCCTCAGCACCATTTTAATTGAGATCTTTCAGAACATCACTGATATTGAACACTTTTTTTATATATTTGGTTGCTGTTTCTACTTGTGCCTCTGATAAGTGTGTATTAATTTCACATGCAACTTTTGGATTGGGTTGTTAAATTTGGGAGTTCTGATTTTTTCTTTATATGTTCAAGATATCAATACTTTGAGAAACACCTGACCAAAACTTTTCAAAAAAATTTCTTTCCCTGTCAGTGGGTTATCTCTTTACTCTGCTGATTTTTTTGTTTATTGCTGTGCAAAAGATTTTAAGTAAAATGAGATCTCAGTTATTGGTTTTTTGTAATATTTCCCATGTGATCAGCACTTTGTTCATGAAGTCCTTGCCTATACCTTTGTCTTCAAGGATTCAAACTATTCCCTCTTTCAGTAGGTTGTGTTCCTGTTTTAATGTATTTGTCATAGATATTTTTCTCTCATTGCTGAGAAAAAATACCAACACCCCAAATTATGGAAGGAGTGGTTTATTTAGCTCACAGTTTATGGAATTTTCAGTTTGTGTTCAGGTGGCTCCAGTGCAGAGTGGCATGGCACAGAAGTGGC